TCACTGTTATAAGCACAAGTAAGCATGTCGGCTATGAGATGTGAGATTGAGAAATTTGATGGGAGCATGAATTTTGCACTGTGACAATTGCAAGTCAAAGAGGTGTTGATTCAGTCTGGACTGCATAAGGTTTTGAAGGGTTAACCAGTCAACGGAAAGAATTCAGGAAAAGACAGTAGCAGTGGAGACTCAGAAAAATCCAAGATTAGCGATAAAGAATGGAAGGAGCTGGATATCACTGGATATCAAAGCGGCAAGTCAAATTCGCATGTGTCTAGCAAAAAATGTTCTTGCTAATGTGCTTGGATTGTCCACGACAAAGAAGTTGTGGGAGAAATTGGAAGAATTGTACCAGGGCAAAAATATATCCAATAGGTTATATTTGAAGGAGCAATTTCATACGTTGAAAATGGCGGAAAATACAAAGCTGTCAGATCATCTGAGTGTTCTTAATGGCATCGTCTCTGAATTAGAAACTCTTGGAGTGCAAACCGAAGATGAAGATAAAACTCTCCGACTCATCCTGTCACTTCCTTCGTCCTTCGACATATGGAAGCACATGAAAACCTGTTCTGAATATATGTGTAGTAAGGAAGTGGTGTGTGAGTTGTGGTTGTAAGCTTCCTTACTGAGGAGAAGAGACTGAATGAAATGAAAAATAAATCATATGAGGATTCAGCTTTATTTGTCGGTACCAAGAAAAGAATAAAGCTCGCGGTAAAGAGGAAGGTTTGTTCTGTTCCTGGGTTTGTGGTCAATACTGGACACGGTGAGGAAGGGATTGCTCCGAAACTGGTTGGACTGATTCGGCTATAAGCTCTAAACGTTTGTTTGGCTGCCAATGTTGATCTCCTGTGGCGAGAGATGAATGTGTTTCGCTTCTGTATTGAGAGAATGGTGGTGTCCTCATGGCATGATGCTACGCGTTGAGAAATGCCATGGAAAGGGATGGGATTATTGTGGCTGGTTCACGAAATGCGCACCGGCATTGGTTGACAGTTGGATGCAAAGTGTGTGGTGAAAAAAAAAATATGTCGATGTGGCTAATGAACTCCCTCGGAAAAAGTCAACAGGAGGGTTTGCACCATAAATTATTAGCGGTATCCGACATGGCCGATGGAAAATTCTTGGAGTCGGTAAATGTGGTTCCAATGGCGATACTCCTTTTATGGTGGAGTATGATAATTCTTGACGATAAGAATTATGATTGTCGGTAGCCAGACAATGTTGTGTTTTTTTTTTTATTTTATTTTTCAAGGTGGGAATTTGTTAGCACGCCGTTTGTTGAAAACAAAAGAAAATATATATAAAAATTAGTTTTTGTTAATCCCACATCGGGGAGATAAGCAAAGTGAAGGTAAAGTGACTTTTGCTTATAAAAATGGAAGCAATGTTTTAGATTTCCATACACACAACCAATAATAGCACCAAAAACACTTGAGTGCGTTTTATATATTAGTGATTATAGAGCAAGTCTCTTGGAGCCCCTTGGAGTATACAAAGTATTTTGGGGTGTTTTTGAGGTGTTGAGTAGAAAAATATTTTGTAATTGTGGTTGTAAACAATTTGCCCAGCATAGTGAATATTTTTCTTGATTGGTTCGTTTGGGCAACGGCCGTGGTTTTCTCCACTTGGGGAGTTTTCCAACGTTAAAGATTAATCGTGTTCTCTTTATTTCCTCAGTTATTATTATTTTCTCATTTATTCCTGCTTGAAGCCGATCCGAAGGGCGGGAAAAAGTGTTCTCTTTAATTTCTCAGTTATTATTTTATTTTCTCATTTATTCCTGCTTGAAGCCGATCCGAAGGGCGGGAAAAATAGCGATTTTCCCAACACTAATTTTTAATATAAGTATCAACTGGTTCCCTCTTTTAGCTTAGGATATGTCCTTGCGTCTTGCAAGATTGGGCATTATTTCCCAAAATGGCTTCATAGTCAAAAAAATTATTATGTGCTTGATATTTTAGATGCTAGAGTTTCTAATTGTATTCCTAATTTGTTTGGGGGTTTGTCTTCTAATTTTTTCTATTTAAATATCTCCCATAATAATTTGATTGGAATAATGCCAAATATTGTTAGGGAGACTTCTAGTCTCCCTATTATATTAGACGTGAGTTACAATGAAATCCATTATCTTTTCATTCAAAACCTAAGTTACTTATCTACTTTGACCTTCCGAATAATCTATTTTCTGGAGTGATTCCTGATAGTTTTATGAATATGCAAAATTAAGTATTTTAAAATTTGGCCAACAACAATTTGTCTAGTAAAATTCCTTTTTCTATTAGTTTTCTTTTCAAACTCCACACACTAAATTTAAAAAATAATAAATTATCAGGAGAGTTACATTTTTCTCTTAAGAAATTGCATAAAGTTGACATTTCTTGACCTAAGTGGTAATACATTGGCTATTAACATACCTATTTGGTTTGGAAAAAACTAATTAGCTTTGCAATATCTTAGCCTACAATCCAATCAATTATCTAGAAGCATGCCCTTACAATTGTGCCAATTAACAAATGTTCAAATATTAGATCTTTCCATAAACAATATCAATGCAACCATACCACACCACCTCAATAATTTAAGAGCCATGACTAATGGGAATTCTAATGGAACCATTCACCATGACTAGGGCTATATGTATGGTCTGGCTTGACAATTATTTCCATATATGTTGACAAGACATTGGTTCTTTGGAAGGATTCAAAGTACATACTAGATAAATATCTTGGACAATTTAGGATAATTGATCTTTCAAGTAACAAAATAAGAGGAGAGATTCCAAGAGAAATAGTTATCCTCTCAAGTCTTAGCCAATTGAACTTGTCCAATAACAAGTTGAGTGGTGCAATCCCTAAAGAAATTGATGGCTTGAAGCAATTAGAGTCACTCAATTTATCTCAAAATCAGCTATCATGCAGATTTCCTACAAGCATTTCTAATTTAAATCTTCTGAATACCTTTAACTTGTCACATAATAATTTTTTTAGAAAAATTCCATCGGGCACTCAGCTCCAGACATTTGATGTTTCTGACATATAGTAATAATCCACGACTTTATGAGTCTCTAGTTCCATTGAAGTGTCCAGGAGACGATATTCAAGATTCTCCATCTAATCATGATTATTGAGATAATCAAGAAGATGAATTCAACAAATCGCTTTATTTTGGTATGACACTTAGATTCATTGTAGGCTTTTGGGGAGTTCCTAGCGTTTTACTATTAAAGCGTTCTTATAGACATGTCTTTTTTAAGTTTGTGGATGATTTGAAAGATTGGTTTTATGTAAGAACAATAATATACACGAAGAAATTGCAGAAAATCAAGGTAAGATTTATTCTTACACTTCATATTACATTTTTAAAATGATAAATAATTTGTTATATGGACTGACTTCTTTTTTTTTCCTTCAGTTTTTACCCGTCTGCTCTGTTTCTTAACACTAGAATCTGATGCCATTGATGGAACATTAGTTGGGGCTAGTTGCTTTATATCAATAGATATATAATTTTAATTCTAATGTAACAATGGAAATGAGTTTAATTATTGTCTATAATATTACTATTTGTACTGTTTTCTATAGTCTGATAACAAAAATTCATTATTAGTACTTGACATTATATATTTATTATATATAATAATGTTAATATTTTTATTATTATATTAATATTTTTTATTCATTAGAAGGCTAATGGGTCAAAATAACACTATGGGCAATACAACAGGGGTAATCCTCTCCTTGACTCACCAAATTAGTAAAAACTATTGTAGTTTTGAGGATTCAAAGACCTCTCGTTCCTCACATACGTGAGAAAAATTATTATGGTAGCATTATCATTATATTAAATATATTATTGTATTAATTATATTATTAATATAATTGCCAAGCTTGGTACCTATAGGCTTCTAGTCAAGTGAGGCATCCCATTCTTTACTGTTGGATAGTGATTATTAATCAAATATAATTAATAAAATCAATTTCTAATTAGAAAATATAAAATTTTTGAATTCAAATTTTTTTTATCACATTAAATTTGATTTTCTATTTTCTATTTAAACAAAGAATATATTTGAAATCTTATAATACAACTTATCCTTGATAAAAATATTACATTATATAGAATTCAACTCCATTCCGTAAATCGCAGCCTCTACTTCCGCTTCAGCTGGAGAGAGAACAATATTGGAGCGTCTAGCTGCAGCAGCCAACACTTGACCCGCATGGTTCCGGAAAATCACTCCTGCACTACACCTCTGGTTGTCCTTAATACCTGCATCTCTATTCATCTTGATAAAACTAAAAGCTGGGACCTGCCAACCTAAGACTTGAGCTGGGGTGTGTTGAACATTAACACTCTGACTATCGCGAATTTGCACATTTAAAAAATCATGAAGCAAACTAGACGCACAGTGCAAAATTTGGACGTCAGATAGTTTATCCTGTTGATACAGCCACAAGTTTCTAGCTAGCCACAAAGCCCAAGCAATCATAAGAATCAGATGGAGCTATTCCGGAAGAAGATTCTCTCGATCGTTTCTAAAGAAACCAGTCCAGCTAGGATAGAGGGGTCGCTGCAGTGTCAAGGCGCAAATGAGATAAACGCCAAACTTTAATTACAACTAGGCAATGCAAGAAGATGTGGTCCAGAGATTTCGCTTCCTCGCCACAGTTACTGCAAATGGGATTCGAAATAACTCCTCGTCTGTATAGCATGAGTTTAGTCGGGAGCGCATTGGAGAGAAGACGATGATGAAAATGCTTAACCTTAGGGGCATTACTTCCATAACCACTTCCACAGACCGTTCTGAGTTCCTGCAGAAGAAGATGGAATATTTCCATATTGGGACTATAGCGCCAAGTAATAGGCCGACTTAACAGAGAAAAATCCATTTTTAGAAAAATTCCAAACAAGAATATCATGATCTCTATAAGCGTTGTAAGGATTTGTAGAATAGCAGTAGCTTCCATAGGGGAGAAAGAGGAATATATCACGTCTTATCGCCAATAACTAGCATCATGATCAATCAACTTAGAGACATAGACATCTGGATCCAAAGCTAAGGGTTCTGAGATTACTTTCTGGTAAGGCAACGATGAAACCCATTTATCACCCCAAACACAAACTCGAGCGCCATTACCGATAAGCCACCTGGAACCTTGATCAATGAGATGACGTGCTCTCATAAAACTCTGCCATGTAAAGCTTGGCTTATATCCAGGTGCTGTAGACATGAACGAACCACGAGGGTAACATCCTGCCTTCAAAAATTGTGACAACAAAGAAGATTCATTAGAAGCAAGTCTCCAACACTGTTTTGATAGCATCGCAAGATTAAAGGCACGCAAATTCCTGAAACCCACTCCTCCTTGGTCCTTCGAACGACATAGGCTATACCAAATCAACCAATGAATTTTACGCTCGTCCTTCTTTTGTCCCCACCAAAATTTAGTCATCATACCCTTAATTTTGTTACAGATATCCATGGGAATAAAAAAACAGCTCATGACATAAGTGGGCATGGCTTGAATAATTGACTTAAGAAGCACTTCCTTACCAGCTCGAGAGAGGGATTTTTCCTTCCATCCATTCAATTTTTTTTTTCGCAACTCTATCAACTAAATTGTTAAACATTTCTTTCTTTTTTCTCCCAATAAAAGCCAAAAGGCCCAAATACTTCTTGTGGTGGTCAATTTGGCGAACCCCCAAACAGTTGCTAATGGTCTCACGGGCACCTGTATTGATGTTAGGACTGAAACAGATTTTAGATTTTTCGAAATTGATGTGGTCAATTTGGCGAACCCCCAAACAGTTGCTAATGGTCTCACGGGCACCTGTATTGATGTTAGGACTGAAACAGATTTTAGATTTTTCGAAATTGATACTTTGGCCTAATGCAATACCATAGCAGCTTATGATCTCCTTAATCTTCATAGCCTCCTGCCTAGTAGCTGGACCGAAGATAATACTATCATTCGCAAAGAACAAATGTGATATAGGAGGAGCAGCTCTACTAATCTTAATGTGATATAGGAGGAGCAGCTCTACTAATCTTAATGCAGTGTAGATGGTGTTGTGGAAATTGGGCTTTTCCACCAAAAACAATTTGTGAATTACTGTACTTACTAACTACACTAAGTAAATTCCCAGATAAGCGGAGGAGTCACAAATGGTCTCACTTAAAATCCACTTGCCTAGACAGAATTTACCTAGAAGTAATTAATTAGATAATAACCACCAAAAATATTTTTGCCCAACAATAGCTATTAAATAAATAAAGACAAAAACAATAGCTATTAAATAAATAAAGACAAAAGCAATAAATAAAAGAAAACATCAAAATTTAACGAGGTTCGGCCAATTTTGCCTACGTCCTCGGACACTACCAAATTTATATTTCACTAAAGAAATATACAAATTGAGAGAGCAGAGAAACTTGTCTAACCCTCTAAGTATTGGAAGACAAGTTTTGGGATGAATAAAACTTAAGGAGCTAGGCTCCTTTTATAGCCAAACAACTCCCTATTCTAATCCTAGTTTCCCGACGTGGGATTTTTGCCACATAACCAATAATCTCCACCTTGGCGAAAACCAATAATCTCCACCTTGGCCAAAATCCCACCAATGCAAGTTTCTACTCTTTCTCTCACAAAGTTGCAATGTCTTCAAATGTGCTTGGCAGTGCCAAGCTTCAATTTTTAACAATATTGATCAAGTCCAAGCAGTGTTTAAACTTGACAGCTGTCACCACTTTTGTCAACATATCAGCAGAATTTTCAGCAGTCTGAATCTTCTGGAGTTGAATCTGTCCTTCCTCCAGAATTTCTCTGACAAAATAAAATCGAACATCAATATGCTTCGTCCTTGCATGATAAACTTGATTCTTTGCCAAGTGAATAGCACTTTGACTATCGCAATGTACAACAATGTTGTTTTGCCTAATTCCTAATTCATCAAGCAATCCTTGAAGCCAAATTATAGCACTATGGCTATCGCAATGTACAACAATGTTGTTTTGCCTAATTCCAAATTCATCAAGAAACCCTTGAAGCCAAATTGCCTCCTTCACAGCCTCTGTAACTGCCATGCACTCTGCCTTTGTTGTAGACAAAGCCACTGTTGACTGTAAAGTAGACTTCCAACTAACTGGTGCTTTTGCAAGAGCAAACACATAACCAGTAGTTGATCGACGTTTATCCAGATCACCGGCATAATCAGAATCATAGTATCCGACTATGCGTTGACCACTATTCTTATCCTGCTCAAAAATCAATCCAACATCCACGATGTTCAAAAGATACCGCATAATCCATTTCACAGCTTGCCAATGATCTTTGTCAGGATCATGCATGTATCTTCTCACAACTCCAACTGCCTGTGAAATGTCTGGTCTTGTACACACCATAGCATACATCAAGCTACCTACAACATTTGCATAGGGAACTTTTGACATGTATTACCAGGTCCAGAGCCTATAGAACCGTTACAGCATTTTGCATAGGAACTTTTGACATGTAATTCCCTTCGCATCATTTTTTTGGCGAAGGCTACAAGCTCACTGAGTTTGAAAATGAGGACAAGAGGTGATTATCTACCAGGTTTGGTTTTGTCAGATCCATTTACCAAAACGCATTAGTAAGCTTCTCATGATGTATTCGCCTTCTAGATTCAAGATAAAAGTACCGCCCCAATTGTCTATCTCTGGTTAATCTCCATGCCGAGAAAATCCTTTTGCTTTCGGGGCCCAGATCTTTCATTTCAAATCTTGATTCAACTATTCTTCAAATTTCTCAATTTCTTGTATTTATTCTTTGAAGCTATCACATATCATCACATACAAAAGAAGATAAATGAAGAGCCACCTTGTAGCTTGGCGCAAATAAACACAATGAATCGTTATTTTTGGCTTCTTGTGTACTTCTGCCTTTGCATAAACCCTTATCAAAGTCGCTTGTAAGCCCACTGCCTCTGGAGAATTGCTTATAATCCGTAAAAGCCGATTTCTCAAAGTTGCATAACCAGATTCCTTTCCGAACATCCTTGATCCTTCCTGGCTGAGTCATATAGGATTTCCTCTTAACCAGATCTTCCATGTAAAAAATGATCCATGTAAAAATGCAGTTTTTACATCCAATTGAACTAGTTCCAAATCAAACTGTGCTACCAAGGCTAACAAAATCCGAATGGAGGAATGTTTTACAATTGGAAAAAATACTTCATTATAATCAATTCCCTTCGTCTGAGCGTAGCCTTTAGCTACCAACCTTGCCTTATAGTGAACACTCTCTCCGTCAGGAAATCCATCTTTCTTTGCATATACCCATCTGCATCCAATTGCCTTCTTTCCCTTTGGTGGATCAACTAAGTTCCACGTCTGATTCTTATAAAGGGATTTCATTTCATCTTCCATAGCTTTTCTCCACTTTACTTCTTCTAAACTTTTGACAGCTTCATTGAAAGTGGATGGAATGCTATCATCTGCAATTTCTGCAATTGAGAATGCATAGGACCAACCATAAAATCATCCGAGCAGGTTTCTTATAACTCTCTTGGCCTATCAATGTGCAATTAACTTAAGTTGCGTGGGAGGGTTCTTGGGAGTTGCAACCTCGTCTTCATCTGAACTGCCTCATATCTCACGGAGTTTCTGCATGGTTCATTACTTGCCACTGGGAATTTTTTTCTAATCAAAACTTCCACCTGTTAGGGAAGTAATCCTCCAACCTGTTGATGGAGTACATCCCTGACTGCTCTATGGACGATTAGCACAGGCTGTTACCTTTTTTAAACATGGTTAAGATTCAATCAAGAGAGCGAGTCCTCTGCTAAGATTTATTTCTTTGATTCTAGTACACGGCATAGTCGATTAGCCTTTAACAGCCGGTGCTATACCAATGAAAATGGCTTTCTTAGCTCTGGATCTAGCTAATGATTCCTTAACAGATAATATGCAGTGAAAACCAAATACACGTAAGAATCATAATCATTTCAAGGTTCTACACTACACCGATAGCACCGTCTATAGTGTTATTAACCACAATAAGCAGTTGAATGGTATCGATTAATGAGACATGGCACGCATAATGATCAAAGCCCTCAGCCAAAATTCTTGTCTAACCCAGCATTAGACACATACACCGAAAAAACCTTTCTTTTTTTCCCCCTCCCCCAAACCCCCCAAAAAAAAATTTTTTTTGGGTTTTTTTTTTTTTTTTTTTTTTTTTTTTTTTTTTTCCCCCCCCACCGGATCATGCGTTCATGCCACCCCAATTCTGCCTGCGGTGGTATATTTCCCTAACTGTGAAGTTGGGTCGAACAAAATGCCTCATCTGCATCAGATTTTATCAAAAGCATCAATTTTTTGTATTCTCCTCCATTGGTCTGTTCGGGCAAGAGACAATTTGAATGCGTCTGCACAAGTCTGAAGTTTCCACCATTTTTTTCCCATTTAAGGAAAATCCAAGACACTATCATCTTTAATTTGGAATTTTCAAAGTATAAGCAACACAACACTCTTCAAAAACGCGAAGACGAAATCATACGTATATATATAATATATATATTATATATATAATCAAAGAAACTGTTGTAGAGGGTCCCATACATCAGAGTGAACATAGTCCAAGATACCGTTAAGTATTATGGATTTCTGGTGCCAAATTTTCATCTTGCTGCTTTCCTTTAAGTGCAATGCTCACATGAAGTCCCAACTTGTTAGGTTGACATCTTTAATAATCCCTAGATTCTGATTAATCTTTTCAAGGATTTTTCACCTGCATTGCCCCAGCCCTATGCCAGCAATCTGGTTGTTCCACTCTTTGTCATCACTAAAAAACAACTTTGCTGTCGATCCAATAATTGTATTACCCTGCATAGTAATCACAAATTATCCTTCTGCTCACAACTCCTTCATCACCACAGTGCACCTGAGTGACTTTCATCACTCCAACTTTTCGCAATTATACGTAAGAGTCTTGTTGAATTACTAAGGACTTCCCACTAAATGAGATTCTTGTCAAACTCGGTACAATATCGAAACATTCAGTTCAGGATCTTAGATTGACCCCAATCCAATGATGTCTATCGAATACGGATTGAACGCAATTCCTTCCTGTGACAGGCTGAAGGAACCATTATTGACAAGATATAGACAACTCATTTCAAGTTCTTAAAGTTCAAAAAACCAGTCCCGTGGGAACTCATATGATGACTGCATGCAGACTAGGCAGCTCATAAACCTCACCAAAATGCTTGTCTAAAATTTGCTGATGAATTGGTCCTATAGAGACCATGAATAACTAATAGAGAAGTCTGTGAGTCTTCATCACACAACCCTCAGCTATGTTTGAATCAATAACAGCGTTGCCTTTGGCTTTCCAGCTTTGGACAATGCTTTCTTCCAGTGACCTTATCCTGCATGATAAAAGGCACACAGGAAGATCATACTTTTGCAAAC